AGACTCTAAACCAATCAATCTATGAAGGTGCTATATTTAGGTGAGAGAGAAAAATTATCCTGATCAGCCGAAAGGAGCAAAGGCTAAAAGCAAATAACTGCAAAATTTAAGTACTAATTACTCCACCAAATCAAGGAAAATCACTTCTAAGATTTCAAAAATCTTTAACCTAAAAACAATAAGGAAAATAGTGGGCTGGATTGGGAATTAATTAGAGGACCTAGGTTTAAATCTCCACTCTATGATCTGAAGCAAGTCATTTAGAGGATCCTGGATACAGATCTGAAAGAAACTCCTGACTCCTAGTTCATCCCCACACTGCCCCCTCGTTTTCCAGAGAAGGAAACTGAGGTCCAGGGAGAAATGACTTACCCAAGGTCACACAGACAATAAAAGTGTCTGAGGTAGGATTTGGTTTTTTGTTTTTGTTAGGCAATAGGGTTAAGTGACTTGCCCAGGGTCACACAGCTAGTGAGTGTTATGTGTCTGAGGCCGGATTTGAACTCAGGTCCTCCTGACTCCAGAGTCGGTGCTCTATCTACTGCGCCACCTAGCTGCCCCTTGTTTGGGTTTTTTTTTTTGTTTTTGTTTTTGTTTTTGGTGAGGTAGGATTTGGATCCAGATCCTCTGACTCCAGAGTAAGTGCTCTTTACACTGTATGACACTTCCTCCCTCCTAGGCCTTAGTTGCCTCCTCTGTAAAGGGAAGGGTAAGGCCTCTGAGGGCCCTTGCAGCTCTAGAGCTAGAATTCTGTGTGTGACCTTGGACAAGTCACTTCTCTCTGGTCTCAGTTTCCTCCTCTGTAAAATGAAGGGGGTTGGACTAGATGGCATCCAACGGCCCTTCTAGCTCTAAATCTAGAACATCCTGTGATCCCACAAACAATATTCATAATGGCAAGGTAAATTAAAACAATACCAACAGGCAGCCAGATTCTAAGATGTTCAGTTGTTTTTCAGTTGTGTCTGACTCTCCGTGACCCCATTTGGGGGTTTCTTGGCAAAGATACTGGGGTGGTTTGCCGTTTCCTTCTCCAGCTCATTTTACAGATGAGGAAACTGAGGCAAACAGGGTGAAGTGACAGGAAGTATGTGAGGTAAGATTTGAACTCGAGAAGAGGAGTCTTCCTGACTCTAGGCCCGGCGCTCTATCCGTTGCAGCGCCACCTCGCTGCCATCTCCATACGGGAGAAGGGAAGAGATGATTCAACAGGTGTCCCTCCACTTGGTAGGAGAGGGGTGGAGAAAGAGATTTGTGGCTGCAGAACACAGCTGGACTGTAGTTCCAGAATGTGTGTGTAGGCTGACCTTGTTTAACTGTCCTTTGGAAGAAAGGTGGAGGAGGGAGGGGAGCCGAATGGAAAACTTTGAACAAATCAACAAAAACAATGGCAAAATCTTCCAGGACACATTCCACAATGTTAAAAGCATCCTGACTGGGCATCAGTAAAAAGCAAAATAAGGGTCCACAATAACCCACTAATGTTTCCAATTATTTCCACAACATCCTAAGAATGACGGACCATTTACAAAAATAATCCTAGGAAAAGTCCCACACTGGGGAAGGATCTCAAAATTTTAACTTCTAAACTATTCTCAGACTATAACCATCAGACTCCACTGGGCCTCTTGGTATTATTTGTTGGCCTGATATTCTTAATCAGTATTTTAAGGAGAAAAAATGTCTCCTGGCTGAGTTTATCCATCCATGCAGATGGCAGCCCGTTTTTACCTTAGTGAGGTTTAATGAGTTGCTCCAGGCCAAAAAACAAACAAACAAACAAACAAAACCCACGGGCTGGCAGCCATCTCTCCAAAGATGAGAAGATCTTTCAGAGCTGGGCCCCTGGCTATCTAGTCTATTATCCCTTTCTATTCCCAACCTGTTTAGAAACAGCAGCATGACAGTGTGGCTATTTTGATCCTTCCTTAGTTCTAGTGCCTTCCCTCCGAGGAGTATCTCCAATTTCTCCTGTCCATAGCTTGTTTGCACATTAGACTATGAGCTCCCAGAGGACAAGGACTGTCTCTTGTCTTTCTCAGAAGCCCCAGCGCAATGCCTAGCACACAGGTGCTGAATAAATGCTCGTTGACTGACTGTCTCCACCGTTAATATGAACCGCTATGGACGATGCAATCAGGTCAAAAGAATAAAGGTCGTCATTTCCACAATGGCCTACTCACATCGAGCATATCAATCTGACTCGTACAGCGGAAATCTTGGTACATTTTTCTCAGATCAATACTTTTCTTGTCTTCCTCGAGAGATTTGGAAAGCAATAAAAGGCAGAGAGATATATGGAGCTTCTGGGCTGACAGCAGGGACCATGAGGTTTGTAACCTTATTAAAAGACTGAGAGGAAAGCTTCCAATGTCTTGGAGGAGCTACACTGGATTTATGGGAGGATGCTAGGATTTGGGGCCCTAAAAGATTTTAAGAGTTTATAGGCTCATAAATCTAGAACTCGATGGAACCTCAGAGACCACAGAGGAAACTGAGGCCTAAGAAGGTGGAGTATTTGGAGGCAAAGGACCTGGGTTGAAGTTTTGGCTCTGCACCTTAATTCTTATGTGTGACTTGGACCAAATCAATTTCACCTCTCTGGGCCTCAGCTTCCACTTCTGTAAAATGAAGGGGGTACAATCTGGAAGGGACCTCAGAGACCATATAGCTCAATGCCCTAATGTTACAGAGGAGGCAACTGAGGCCCAGAAAGGGAAAGAAGTGACATAGGCTCCTAGATCTTCGAGCTGGAGGGGACCTCAGAGGCCATCTAGCCCACCCCTCCTCATTTTACAGAGGAGGAAACTGAGCCCAGAGAGAAAGAGTTGACTTGGTCAAGGTCGCACACAAGTATTAAGGTACAGTGCCAGGATCTGAACCCAAGTCCTCTGACTCCAAATCCAGGCCTTTTCCCATTACCCAATGCTGTCTCCCATCATCCCCTTCTCAGGCCAGTACCTTGCACACAGAAAACATTTAATAAATAGCAGTTGAATTTTGGAGAAGATGAAGCATCATTTTGTAAACAGTGAATTCTTTTGAATATATTTATGCTATCTTGACTCTGCTACTTCTAGCTGGCCAACTCTGGGCAAGTCACTTAACCTCTGGGTTTCAACTGTAAAATGAGAGGTTTAGATTACATGATGTTCGAGGTCCCTTCCAGTGCTAATCTGTCATCTTATTCATCTATGGCCACTATAAAAGAATAAAACAATTTTTAGGGATCCCAAGCATGTATTCCCAACATTATCTAAACTAAGTAAGGTTTATGATTTGCAGGTTTCCTTTTAATTCCCCTGAACAAAAGTACTTAAAAGAACACCTTTGGCCCTTTGTATTCCTCATAGTATGGTAGTTTATGCACTGCAAAGTGTAGATATTTGCATATTTTTATTCAACATGTGCACTATTTTTAAGTTATGTAAAATGAAACTCCAAACTAATCTATGAAGGGGTTATATTTAAAGTGATTTGATTTACAAAAATATGAGTTATATTGATTTTTCAGGAAGAAAACCATTGAATGGGTTGCCAGAGCCAAAAGAATTCATTAGTGAGCATCCAACTTGTTGGTGATGAGCAAGGTTGGTTCTCTGGTAGCAGATGCAGCTCAGTACTACTGAGTCTGTTTTGGGACATTTCCTAGCTTGCTAGAACCTACCAGTGCTGTGTCCACTTGCAGAGGCCTTTGAGAACTCAGGGTTACCGTCATGGATCAGAGTGGGGCTTCTCTGAAGGTAGCCTCAGAAGTGAAACGGACAGGGCCAGAGGTATTTGGGGAATCTTGCAATGCTCTCAATGATATCAAACTGCTCCCTGATGCAAAACCCATCATCTTTATTACTAGCATTATGTTACATGGCATCAATGTCACCCAATGGGGATGGTGGCTGTGACTGGAATGAAGCATATAACCAGAATGCCTTGGGAGAAGTGGTACAAAAGATCTCATCAAGGAAATACCGGGCGGTCAGTAGCAAAAGCAAGGGCCAAAGAATGGCCAGCTTGAGTGCAGCACTCATGAAATATTAAAAGACTCAAAGGAAAGCTTCCAGGGATCATAGGATCCTTGTAAAACTCAAAGGGATCTCTGGGGACACGTAATCCAATGTCTCCTTTTTGAATGAATGAGGAAATTATGACCAGTGGAATTTATATTACCCAAAGGCACACACAGCATTACAGATGTAGAACTGGAATGAACCTCCAAGGCCAACCCCCTCATTTTATACAGGAGAAAAGAGATGGGACTTGCCCAAGGTCATACATGGGATCCTAGCTGGAAAGCAGGAAGGGGAGAGGCCATCTAGTCCAAACCCCTCATTTTACAGAGGAGGAAACTGAGGCCCAGAATGGGGAAGTGACTTGTCCAAGGTCACACATGGAATCCTTGATCAAGAGATGGAAGGGACTTCAGGGGCCAGCTAATGGATAACTCCATTTTACAATAGAGAAAACTGAAGCCCTCAGACAGCAAGTGACTTGCCCAAGGTCGCACATAAATTCCTAGCTCTGGAGCAGGAAGGGGCCTCAGAGGCCACCGCCAGACTGTCTCATTGATGACTTAGATCTTTATGCGAGTTTTTGAGATCGAAGCCACCTCAGACCACATCTAGGCCAATCCCCTATCTTTACAGAAGAGGAGAAGGTGGCCAAGGTGGACTTACCTAAGAATTGCACTTCAGGTTTGAAGCCCTCCCCTCCCCCCTTGAAAAAAAACGATCTGCAGACAACACTGGAAGAAGGCTGGTATCCCCAGGGTGAAAACCCTATGCCCTCCCACCCTCAAGGGAGGAGGCACTGGCTCTCCCAACGAGAAGCTGGAAGAGGAGGGCGGCCAAAGGGGCTGGGGGGAGGGGGGATGTCGAGGGTGTGCGTGCGGACGTTGGAGCGAGCGAGCCGGCGAGCGGCGCGCGGGCGGGCGAGCAGGTACCTGCCTCCCCGGCGCAGTCCGACGGCCGGGCGATCGGGGGGTGGGGACCGGAGCAACTCACCTGTGAACCCCCCGCTGCCGCCGCCTTCCTCCCCGTAGCCCCGGCGCCGCTGCAGCACGAAGTAGTCGTTGGCCCGTTCCAGGAGCCACAGCTTGAGCGCGTTCTTGAGCAACACCTCCTCCGGCTTGAGCCACATTGTGGACCGTCCTGGCCAGCTCCCCCCGGCCACCCCCTCCTCGGCAGAGCTGGCTGCCCTGAGCCCGGCTCACAGTCCACCCCTCCCGTCCTCGCCCGGCCGCTCTCAGCTCGACTCCCGGCTCCCTCGGGCTCCCACTCCCTCGGGCTCAGGATCTCCACACCTGCTCGCACCCCGCCCTGCTCTCCCACGTCGACAGTGTCACTGCCAGCTCCCGCCCACCGGGGCCAACGGCGCCGCCCTGCCGCACGGCCTCCTGGGAGCTGTAGTCTGCGTCCCCATGCTCTAGCTCGAGACTAGGGGAGTGCTTGACTATGCTTCCCATAAGGCCCAGCGATGGCAAGGAAGGCGGGGCAGCTGGTGTCCCAGACAGAGAGTTGTGGCTTCACTGCCTGCTCAGCCGCCGGTAACTTGTGTTAAGACTTAGGCGCGTAGAGTTGGCCAGCTAGTCCAACGCCCCCATTTTACAGAGGAGGAAACTGAGACCCAGGAAGAGGAAGGGATCTGCCCAGGTAACACAGAGGACCCTAGTTCTAGAGCTGGCAGGGACTTCAGAGGCAATCTAGACCAACACCCTCATTTTACAGAGGAGGAAACTGAGGCCTAGAATGGGGAAGTGACTTGGCTAAGGTCACACGGAGGATCCTAGACCTAGTGCTGGAAGAGGCCTCAGAAGCCACTTCTGAGCTGGTGCTTCTTTTCATTGCTTAACCTGAGTTTTCTGCAGTGAAATTACAGGCCCAGCATCCCATTCCATCCCCTCACCCCTCCTCCCCAACACATTGGCTAAGAATATAATCACAAGGTATTTATGAGGTGTTAAAGTAACTGTAAAAGACTGAGCCTTACCCTGATCCTTTATGTGGTGGGAATACCTGTGATTTAAAAGAACAACTCCATTGGCTGAGAAAAAATCAGCCCTGCCTCTGGGATTTTAAGGAGCTACTCCCTGAGAAACCCAAAGTAGTCAAAACTACCTTGTGTAGAAAAAACTCGGTAAGGTGAAGGAAGACATTTCTCTCTCTTCTCCACCTCCCACTTTGGCCATGTAGCTTTAAAGCAGAGCCACAGGATCAGTAAGAGTCACCATATCCGGTTGGGAGGAAAGGCACACACCCCAAAGAGACTAAGACACAGAAGGACAAGTCTCCAGAGGGAGGAGGCAGTTTCATGGAGTGTGACACTGCCTCACCCCCGTGGGATTCAGGTTATGAAGAAAAGCAGACCAGGGAACCCAGAGGATTCCAACATATAAGAAAGGACTCCCAAGGCCTACAGTACCATGAGTTGTGAGGTGTCTTTGCCACATTTGTGACTCACTACTGTCATGTTCTTAGTCTGAGCCCACTCTTCCCATGACTCCTGAGTGTGTTTCTGAAAGAGTGTGCCACAAGATTATTGGTGAATGCTTTGTATCTACTCTTCTGGTTATCCCATTTGAGTAATGCCTTTGCTAAGAGTTAGTTAAATCTTTTTTTTTTTATTCTGAACTTAAATACCAAAAAAAGAGCATTTCCATATGCATAACAACATAAGAAGAGGATTGTTATATGAAACCACAAATCTTTACTTCATGCGACTTTTTTTTAAAAAAGATGAAATTCCACACTTTTCTTTCAAAACTGTCCTGCTTGTCTGTGCTTCCTTAAATCTATTCTCTTCTTGCCTTTAAAAAAAAAAGTTTGAATATCCCTCTATTTTAGTGTCACTGTTGCTAACCCCACTTCTTCCTCTCTCCTAAACCTCTCCTCCCTGGTGAGAAATCAGACATGGCTGATCATTGCAGTGAGTTCCTAAGTCTTTTGAGGCGGATTTTCTTTACAATGCCATTGTCTTTGTATAAATTGTTGTCCGGGTTCTGCTCACTTCATTCTGAATCAGTTCCTGTTACCCAGGATTCTCTGAAATCATCTCTTTTGTCATGTCTTACAGTGCAATAATATTCAATTACATTCACACATCACAATTTGTTCAGCCATCCTTCAATTGTCCAAGAGGCTATCTAAGCCCCCCCCCCCCGGATTCTGGTTCTTTTCTTTTGTCCCTCTCTCCCTTTTTAACCCAACTCTTCAGGATCAGGAAGTTTGTTTTGTTTGGGACTATTCCTTCCCTGGTAATATCCCCCTAACTAACTTTCTTCTTCATCCTCTAGTTTGTTTTGCAGTCAGGTTTGATATATTTTCACACCCAACTCCATATATGCACTTAATCTTCCTTTGTCTGAGTCAGACAACAATATAGGTCATCTGATGTCCACTCCACTCCTGCCTTCTTCCATGTTTATATGCTCTTCTTGCCCACCCCAATTATGAGAAATAGCGAGTTTTATTCCCTTCTTCCTCCTTCTACTTTTCTCTCAGTTTCCTCTCTTCAAGATCTCAGACCAAAGCCAATTTCCCCCACCCCACCCCACCCCACCCCAGGATCCTCTGTTTTATTTAACATTTTTAGCTCTTGTTTCATTTCTTGTAGATATTAATGTAGTCCTGATGGGAAATTCATTTTTTCTTTTGAGTCTCCGTTTACAGTTGTAACAAAGTTACTGTCTTCTTCTAGGCCGGATTTCTGGTCATTCCTAGGTAATTTTTGATACTGGTCAGTGCCCCCTACACAGCTTTAGTTCCTGAATTGGGGCTTTGTGCCAGGGTCAGGCTGTGCCTCCTGTTGCATTTTGAGTGTGGTGGTCAGCCCTGCTTGGCCTGACCTTGAATCACTTGGGTTCCTGTCCTGACCTTCACCTCCCAGGGTTAGTTCTCCCTGGATCTTTGAGGTTCAGAGCACTGGATCTTTAGGGTCCGCTCTGGTGTCTTATGACAGAGTACCGGGGACCTTAGGGCACCTAGGTTGTCCTGGTTTCAGTGCTGCTTCCCCACACTGGTCATTGGCACTCCCTAGGGCTTCCAGGATCCAGTTTCCAATGTCCCTGGGGCTTTTTTGGGGACAGCTCCCCACTCTCCTGCCTTTGGACACAAAGCCCTTCAGGCTACACAGTCTGGCTCATCTGGTCCTTCTGGGCTTTTGCTGGCTTGCTTGTTTGCCTTTGCTGGGGGCTCCTTTCTTGTTGCCCATTGGCTTCCAGTTGACTTTTTGTGTTATTCTGGGGTGAAAAAAGTCACTATAGTTTCTCAGCAGATTTCTTGATCATTATGCAGTCCTGTGCAAATTTCAGGGTTTTGCTGGAATAGGAGTGGGAGTGTTTAGTCAGCCATCACAGCCAGAAGTCCAAGCTGATCATTAACGGGCGGAACAAGGGGTGTTGTGTGAGACCTGCAGGGAGGTAAGAATAGACATTGCCTTCCTCAACCCTTCTCCAAGGGAGACTTTAATTCCTGCCAGGAGAGGAAGCAGGAGGTTGAAGCCAGAGGCTTGGCTTCTCCGCTTTCCTCAGAGAGAGGGGAAACTACACTGGAATTATAGCTATCTGTTCCCTTAGATGTTAGTAATCTAGAGGATGTAATAACTTTGAGGTTCAAGTTAAACTCCTGATTGCTATTTATTAATGGGGAAAAGGCACTTTATTTTTCTTGCCTTTTTTTTTAAAACATGGCTAATATGGAAATATGTTTTACATGATTTCATATGTATAATTGATATCATATTGTTTGCCTTCTCAATGGCCAAAAGAAGTTATGTATGTAACTCAAAATGTAAAAAAAAATAGTTAAAAATACATAATATTTTTAAAAAATGTTTGAAAAAAGGTTATATTGTCAGATGCACTGGGTAGGCTGTTTTTTGCGTAATTGTTTTTCTTTGGTACAGTGAAGGTTCAATTCTGGGGAACCTAGAAATGAATGTGTATGGAAACAAAAAAGCATTAATAAAAACTTCTCTTTTTTAAAAGATGAGAAATTATAAAATAACAACACATAATGAACAACTTTGAAAGCTGTAAGAAATATAATCAATACAATGATTCCAAAGGACCAATGAAGAAACATACTATCCATTATAGAGAGGTAATAGATTTAGTTACAGAATGAGACACATACATTTTTGTGTACAGCCATCGAGGGAATTTGTTTTGCTTAATAATGCATATTTGTTGTAAGAAATTTGTTTTTCTTTTCCTCTTTTCCCAGTGGGGTGGGAAGTGGGGGGAAAAAAGAGAAATTAGATGTTTTGTTTTGTTTTTTAAAGAGGTGGCAGGATGTTACAGATGGGAAATGTTGCATGCACTTTCAGATGTGGTCATTGTTTTGTTTTACTTAATTGCTTTAATTTGTTCAAAGAGACCTCTCACGAAGTAGAGGTAATCTGTAACTGTAATGTTAAAACAAAACACATCAACAAAAAACTTTTTTTTTAATTAATGGAGGGAAAGGGAGGGGCCCAAGCTTTATATTCAAGGCTTGACTTCTTTCCCACCAATGAACCAATTCCACAATGAACACATTTAGCAAATAGCAAAGAAACCCATTTATCCAAGTTGATAGCAAAACAGGAATCAGAGAAAGTTGACATAGGAGAATATATACCACACAATACAGATTGAATGAGCTCTCCCTTTGAGAGTAAGGCGACTCAACTGAGAGAGAGAGAGTCCAGGATCTCACCCAAAGAGAAAAATTCCCTGAAATCTTCCCTGTAGCAAGCTGAGAATAAGGACATGATCAAAGCTCTACATGATGAAAGCTTCTTCCCACAGTCTTTCTTCCTTCATGTCCTTGAAGAAAGGTTGGAATGGTTCATCTCTCTAAAAGCTGGAAGCCAGAAGAACCTGAAGAGATTTCTTCTCTCCCTCTCCCACCAACTCTGGTCCACTCCTCACACAGGTGCAGGGTGTTGAATAATCAGTGTCTGCCCAAGAGGAGAGAGTGTCATACCAATGGGCTTTGGGGCTCAGTCTCTGGGTAAACCACCTCACCTAACTATAGGGTTATGAGTGTAGCCCCATAGGGTTAACCTTAGAACCTTAGCTAGCATTTGGGGATGTATCCTGGTGGGATTGTTAAACAAGGTAATTTGGGGGGAGGGAACTGTGAGATTCTAAAGTTAGAAGTAGCGCCTTCCAGGAAAGGGAGACAGTCTGTGAAAAGACATGAAAACCAAGAGTGCTATGTTTTGA